TATAGCATGGATCACACAGCGGTAAATTGTACTTGTGGGGAAAATAAAAAAAAAACAAACAAAAGACATGGTAGGATTGTGGTGTGTTTACTATGGAAGCAATGTTATTATTTAAAACTCAGTGTTTTGTCTCAGCCAGATGTGTTAAAAATCAAGCTGAGATGACACTGAGAGAGTGTGGCTGATCTCTGTAGAGTTCTGTGGGTTATCTGGAGTGCCAGGGGAACCCTACACCACCTCAGAGAGGGAGACAGAACAGAGGGAGATGGATGGATGGATAGAGATGATAAAGAGAATGAGGCAAGAGAAGAAGCAGTTACCGCTTTTCTGTGTAGATCTTCCACAGCATTGGTCATTTTGGTCATGTTTCAGTTGTACACCCCTTATGCAACCTGTTATAAGTTCTCCTTTGAAGGTTTAGTACATATGTATGCAGCTGATAAGCTCTCCGAGCAAGAAAAGCACTCTTCTACATGCATTACCTTCCCAGCGGGGGTCTCTTGACAACTGTGTTTTTGTGTTTCTGTGTGTATGTGTGCGTGTGTGCATGAAATCTTGCAAACCCCCGCGCTCATCACAAGCATACAATTTCCAAGCAGTACATGCAGCAATCCACTTGAATGTTATACAGGCTCTTTAGTGTTGGAGGTTTGAAGGAAGCATAAATCAGAGGTGATCCAATTTACAATTAACCTGTCCATGCTCCGCCCACAAATAGCAACTGCTGCAAGGTTGGAAAGGCGACCTAATGAATTTACATAACATTAAGTTTCCAGTTTAAAATGCAACACTTCTGAGGTGGACTTAGTTGTTGTAGCTAATCAAAACTAGACAAGTCGGAAACAGAACGAAAATGGCCCACCTGCTTACGTTAGCTTTATTACATGACGGAAAACTACACCAATATCAAACTAGCCTTTCACAGGCATAAAGTACAGTCTGATATTAGTAATGTACTCTTAAGCTTATTTAGGGTTGAATCAGATTTTTGTGAGCATTCTGTAAAGTTCTGTGAACAGTTTGTGGGCAGAGCACTGATGATTTCAGTCTAGCTATAGATATTTTCATGCAGTCTTTCATGCAGTCAGACATAAAATGTTTTCTTCCTGTAAATACTTGTTGAGTTCATAGTAGATACATTGATTTCAGCTCCAGTCAGGGTAGGCAATATGACAATATTTCATCATATTGTGATAAAATATTTTACAATAAGCATTTCTGAGCATGGTGTGGATAAAGTCAGTCAGTCAACTTCCCACAGATTAGACATGGCGTGGCCTACCGATTCTATAACACAATTTATAAAAATAACCTTTTAATATTTTTTTTTTTTTAACATGACTCCACTATTACAAATACACACAGTTTCCCATTTACAGGACTGTGTATGTATGTCTGTTACACATATTAAAAACACTAAGGCTTTTTATTTACATGTTTTGTTAATAAGATATTTATTTACAAATATGGCACTATTCTTTGAGTGTAAGTCCTTTTCCTTTGAAACTATATGAGCATAACAAGCAAATGTCAGCTTGTTCTTAGATATATATAGATAGTCTGACCTGCTGCCTGGTGCACACTGCCATTTGGTTTAGCTATGTTTTTATCTGCCATCATTTTAATGATGAAAGGATGACAATTTACATATGTTTCCTGAGATTTCTGGCTCTGGCAGGTCACACTACAGCCTATTAGAAGTGTGAAAACTGTATATGTTCTGTATGCACTCTGGCTGGGGAAAACAGTGTTTTATGACTGACAGGAGAGGCTATAATCACTGGCAAATGGGCTTAAACTCATGGCAAAACAAAGGCACGGCTACAACACAAAGACAAGACTAAAACATCTTTTGCTCAAATAACCTCTGCCGAAATGATAAAAATACACATCTCTATTATATACCCATTTCTTCTGGCTGTATTCCAGTAAGGTTTGAGATAGCTCAGTGACCACAAAGCATGAAGAAATTGAGAGCAAAGAGGAATAGCTTTGCTGATCATGAATTTGCATACATGTGAACTATGAGTCTCTCATTGTTCTTGCATGGTCTCTTCTTAAAATATTTTTTAAGTATTCACCTGTGCTCAGTTTCCCATCGTAGTAATAATATCATCTTAGCTGGTAGAGAAAGTGTTCAGTGTGATGCTCGCTCTACCATTTAAGAATCATTTAAGATCCTTTTGGGAAACACAGCTCTGATGAATTAAAAATGAGATAAATCACAAGCATGAACGAGGCAATCTTTCTAACTATGAGAAAGCAAATTCTACTCAGGAAAACTTTGTTCATTACTTGTAGTAGCTAGCTAGCATTGTCCAGACTCCTGCTGTCTTCTTCACTGTCCTTTATTCTTCCCCTCCTCTGAAATGAGTTCCACTCGTGTAGCAGCCAAATTTGTGTCAAATGGCTTTCAGACCAGATTAATAAAACAGTACTAAATGGGTTGACGTATATTTTGACAAGTGTCCAGACACCTAGCTAGCTACCAAGACATTAGCATGCTATTAGCAATTTTCTGTGCTTCTTGTGAAGAAAAGGACCATAATACATTAAAACGACATTAAACTAAGACAATACAATGGCTATTGTATTTTTTATCAGAGAAAATACTCACATTTGTGGGTTTGGTTGGTCACTTGTGCAGCCATCTTGCCAGTTTTTCTTTTTTTCTCATGACACTCCGTTTGGAGTGTGCCCCTGAAAAACCTCTGTTTGGAGGGCCATGTAGCCTTAACACTTTGCCCTAGCCCTCTATCTCAACAAAAATCGAGATACCCTACCCCTACGAGTAAACCTGCAAATGGAGGGCTAAACATTAAGTAGTAGGGGCAAGGGGTGAAATGAGATTGGGCCCAAGTCTCTGAGCTAAAGTGATATCATAAGAAAACAAAGAACATTTTATATATAGCTGATTGTCGTGCTTCTCTGACCTTGTCACCTCTGTCCCCAACCTTTTAAACTATATAGACATACTTAGTGTACATCTCATTGGAATAAAAATGAATTTATGCTCATTACCCAAAAAAAAGATCCTAACTTTTTAGCCTCCCTACCTTTTTATTTATTTTTTTAAATATTTTTTTGGATTTTAACCCAATTTTCTCCCCAATTTAGTCGTCACCAATTCCACCAGCTAGTTAGGACTCCCCCAGTCACACGATACCATCAACGCTAGGAGGGCGAAGGCTAACACAGGCTTCCTCCGAGACCCGTGAAACGAGCCACCGCTTCTTTTCGAACTGCCGCTCACGCAACGTCATTGGACAGCTGAACGCGCTCGGAGGAAAGCGCCAACCACCAGATCTGTTACGTCAGCTAACAGACGCCTGCGCTGACTAGCATCACGTTAAGTGATGGGGGGCAGAGGGAGGGGCCATCATACCCACCCAGAGAGAACAAGGCCAATTGTGCTCTCTTGGACTCCCAGCTACAGATGGCTGTAGCATCACCAGGGATCGAACTCGCAATCTCCTGATGATAGGGCCAACGCTTAGACGGTTGCACCAAGCCTCCCTACCTTTTAAACTGGTCAGTGAACATATATGTATCTCGGCTGTCAGATTTCAAAAATGCCAACTTACAAATTGGCCAAATTTTGAAAATATGTTTGACAGGGTCAGGGCAGACATTGAAAAGTTGAAACTGCTTCCTTTATCTGTGATCAGTTTTTCAAACCCTTCCCTTCTATTTGCCGACTTCTTTCTTCAAGCATTTGGAGAAAAACCCCACATCTCTAAGGCTCACTTACAAAAACCTATTACTGTGGGAGGCTTAGGTTTACCTTTGTTTATGCAATATTTCTGGGTTGCAAATGATAGGGCGCTTTCTTTTTGGCAAAGTGGATCCCCAGAAAAAAGGTGCCCCAAATCCTTCTCTTGTGGTTTTATTATTTTCAAAAGTTGAACTCACCAGAGCAATGATAAAAAATAACATCAGAGTTAAAAATTCGCTCAGAATTCTGAACCAGATTAAATGCTTCACTAAAGCACCAACAACCTCAATACATACTCCAGGGCTTTATAATTATTTATTTTTGCCCTCCCAGCTAAATGGGGCATTTTCAATATGGAGGTAAAGAGGCTTGTGGTGCATTGAAGATTTATACATGGAGGAGAGCTTTGCATCATTTAACCAACTTAAAGAAAAAATTGGCTTTCCCAACTCACATTCTGACCCCATGATTGTAATTTGTCGATCCTCTCAATTGCTGTCCTCCTTCTCGTATCCTGTACAAGTTATCATGACCAGCGTGGTCACAGCTAAAGAGATCATTCTTTTGAATTAGAAATTTGCATTTGTGTTCAAGTGGTTTTGGTTGGAAACAAGATAGATACACTGAAAATAATGTTTTTAGGTTACGTTTGTTTTTCATTAAAGAAAGTCTGTTTATTTTGTGTTACTGCAATAAAAAGCAGAGGACACTTTTACCCAGCTAGAAGCATCACATAACTGATGCTTATGTCTGTATCTTCATGCGTGTGAATGATTTTAGCCTGCAGTGTTCATGTGTGGCTGTAGAATAACTGAAATACAACCAGTTTATCAGTTGCTGCTGTTGCTTTTTTGCTGACATGCCCCCAACTTGGAAACTCTGGGCTCACTGAAAAATCTAAATTTTGCACTAGTACATGTGACATTGTGGTGCCGTTCATATATGCTCATCTCATAAATATGATATTTCCGACACTACTTCACTTCTTGAAGGCAGCATTAAAGGGACCTTAAACCTCTTTTTTTCTTCCCGAGTCTCCTTTCTCTTCTGTCTCCCTTTATTCCTGTACTGTGGGTGTGATGACCAAGGAAAGGTAGGGCTAGGGAGGGTAGGGTAATGGAGGGTGGGGTGTGGGAGGTGGAATTAGGAAGGGTGGGAACTTCATGTTTATTTTGGTATTGTGATTAACCCTTGTTCTTAAAATATATAAAACTGAAAATGCATTATTTAAAAAAGGGAAAAAAAAACATGAAGCTCAGAGAAAGTTTCCTCTTTCTGTCTACAGAAAGCTCGACTGGCCAGAATGCGAATCTCTAAGACAGGCAGCTCCAACGCCTTCCTGCACAGCAAACGCAATGGCATGCTGAACCAAGCCCTGGAGCTAACGGTAAGAACCTCCACTCTCTCTCTCTCTCTCTCAGACATGCGTACATACATGCACTCCTCATACACATCAGAAAGCAAACATTCTTCAAATGCTTACTGACCCCAGACACGGACGGCTGGATGGATGAACGAACGGGTGGATGACTCTGAATAGAAAGATAGCTCTTCAAAAATATCACAGAGGATGGAAGCAGTAAGAGAAAAGCTAAGAGTAGCCTCGCATGACAGAGATGTGGCGTATGTGTGTGTTTCAGTCTGAGGCTTAACCTTTAGCCCATTACAGCATTTCCTGGAAGTAGGGCGCATCGATTCTCTGAATTTACAGAATCTAAATCAGTCGGTGTGTAAAACATGAAAAGGGAGAAGATAACTATCCACAGAGCATGTAAGCAGACGCCAGCTCTCCACATGGGTCTGCACACAGCTTTCAGCATGTTCTTACTCAGAAATGAACAGAGAGAGCAAGGCAGAGAGACTGTGAGAGAGGGCGAGAGAGTGTAGAACGTGTCAGAGGCTTCATTAAAACTGAAGTGTCTATGCTCGCTGGCTGCTTTTGGTAATGAAGGCTGCGAACTGCAGAATGAACCGAGCACTGTAAATGCAAAACCCAGATACCAGTAGTTTTAACATGGAATTGTGCACAAGAGGCTGAGGATAAGGGGGTGTCTTTTAAAACAAATGACTCATTTTAATGAATGCCCTCTCATTCTTATCTTTCCCTCCCTCTTTCTTCTCCTCCTCCTCCCACTGCATCCCTCCTTCCTCTGCTGTTTTAATCAGAGGCTAATGAAGTCAGACCTGAAGTCTGACACAAACAACAATGTGAATTAAAAGCTGAATTAATGAAGGACCCTTACTGATAGGGTTAGCCTCCTTTATCAAAAGTGCTCTCTTTATCTCTCTATTTTCTGCCTGTTTGGCTATCTCTCACGCTCTGATTCTGCCCACTAGAATAATAAGGATTTCAGGGTATCGAGCCAAAAGTGGTGGCACCTTCTGCAATGCAATGTATGTGATTTTTGTGTTGTTCTTGCTGCAAGAGTGCTGTGTGCATACTGCACTACCAACCGTGGATCGGCCTGACTGCCCAACTTCCATGGTTGGAGCACCTAAAGTTTCCTATAAAGAGCCAGCAGGGGTCCAAACTTCCATTTCTCACTCTCTTAAATATGGACCTTACATATTAAGCATTATTTGAGCTCGATTTGTTTTACAGATTCTGTAATTGACGGGTCTGCACTATAGAATAATCCGGACACAATAACCAGAATAATCCAGGCACTGGCACTTAAATCAGTGACTCTTAAAGAGTGGTCCACAGACCCCCAAAATTCCATGACCTATAACCAAGGAAGCCACGACTATTATTTTTTTACGTGAGGTGACACCGATGATCAATTGTACCACATTTTACATCCAAAGTATCCAAAGGTACTCTGCTGTCACTCTACTTCCACTTTTTTGAAGCCAATATAAGAACCAAGTCAACCAGTTTTAAAAAGTACCACAACTACAATGAGTTTGGTTTTATTGAAAACAGTGACAATTGATCAAAATGTGTTATCTGCTTCATAATGCTAGCAAACTAGACCATGAAGCCAACCAGGCTAAAGCAACATCCAGATACAAAGCAAAGCTCATATCAGGGATCCAAAAGAAATTTTAAAAACAAGAGTAAGCCGTACAATCTTCAGAAAAAAAATATGATGGCCACAACCTAAAAGGGGAAGTGATGAGGACTTATTATTTAGTAGCTCAGCACACTAATAAAGGCAAAAAGCCAAATGTGACCAGAGAAGAGCTTGTGCTCCCATCCAGTAAACATGATTTGATATATTTGAGCAATTGGATTGTGTTTGTATTAGGATTTGGATTGTATTAGGCCTTTTCCAATGTACTGTATTATTAAATTGTCCTTGAAGATGTCACTGAAGTCATTTAGATTGTTTCAATGTGACATGTGCCACTCTACAGAAATTTAACAAGTCAGAAATGTTCACAGCACTGGTGACAGGAACAGGACATCTGAAACATATAATGCCTCTAAAAGCTACTTCAGTTAGGTAAATAAAAAACAGGTAAATATGTAAATAAAAAAACAAATACATTACATGATGACATTGTTTTAGGATCATTTGAGTTATGATTTTGAAGTTTAAATTGTATTACATACATGGTGGGGAGATACCTTCAGGGCGCAATAGGACCTAAAGACACATTTTCAGTTTACCACTGTTTTAACAATATTAGCAAGAAAAGTGTAGGTTCTTTGGTCCTTTTGAGTAGAAAATAAAATTTGTAGTAGTAAATAATTTGCATTGTAGAAATTGCAACCCCAGGTTCCTATCACCACCACTGTAATAAGAGTCGGTAGATTTCTCTACAATGAACCTTGTCACATCAAAACACTCTAAATGACCTTGTTTACATCTAAGCAATTGAAGTATGCATACTTTACATGGGCCACACTCAATAACAGTAACAAAAACGGTGCATGGCTGTATCTGTTTCTAAGTTTTGTTAATACCTTATCTTGAGGCTGTTTCAAACAGGACTACTATTACTGCCAATTACAGTTAATGGTTATGGGATTATTACTGTAAAAAACTAAATACATTGCAGATTCACAGATATTGCAGGTTATGATACTGAGTAATTTAATTTATAATTACTCTTATGATTAATAACTAGATAATAGGCCAACAGTTTAAGGGGTTAATGGCTAAAAGCTAGTGCCTGTATTAGTATTCACAGTACTTGAACCAGATTATTAAATGTGAGTGTATAGAGTGTTTTGTGCTCATGACACACACCTGTACACCAGCCCACCTGTACTGCTCAGCTAGCTACCGTCTCTCTCTCTCCCTCTCTATTCCCCCCGTCTCTCTGCCCACTCACGGCTCACTGACTCACTGCTGTTATTTTGGTACGTTCTCAGTTGAAGCCGAGGCGGTATGGAAATGGAAGAGAGCACAGGGTTGTGTGTGTATATTTGTGACCACAGGGCTCAGAGCCCGTACCCCGTGCAGTAACTCACCGGCCTGTAGATGTGTACAGCCGGTGTGGCATTAGCAAGCGCTCCGGTGTGTTTTGAAGGCCAAATGAAGTGCAATAGCTCAGCTGAGCGTTAATGTCAAACAGTGGTCTAATTTACTGCCTCTGTTGCTGCCTGTTGAAGGCCCGGTGCGTGTTTAAACTCACACACTGTTCCGCGGCCTGTTTGCTCTCAGTCCTGTCACGTGTATAACTGCACTGCCGGGACCTCAGTGTTACATAATAGTATTCCTGGAAGGAGCCAGGCCTTCCAAAAGCAGTAAACCTCTCTCTCCATGTTTTTGTCTCCCTCTCCCACCCCACAACTACAGCAACTACCTTACAGGATGAAACTCTCAGATCAGGTACTGAGACAGAAAATACATACACACATCTTTCTCTGTCTCTCTGTCTCTCTCTCTCTCTCTCTCTCTCAGTCTGTCAATCTTTCTTCTGTCTATGTGTCTAACACGTGATCATTTTTGAATGATGTAGTAATTAACCTGTATTTTATGTTTCTGTTTCCTTTCCTCTGTGTTTTTCCCCACTTTCCCCTCTCTTTGCAATGCGTGTGTGCATTCACTCTGTTGCAGGGCTCCACAGGTGAAGAGCGGCATCTGAATAAAACGACTTCACTAATAGAGAGCCAACACCACCACCTACTGCACTGCCTGGAGAAAACCACGGTCAGAAATACACACACATATGCACATGTTCACCTTCTCAAAACAGGCTTCTCTTGAAGTTCTTGGGTGTTATACCTCCTCTTGATACTCAACATGAACAGTGATGTCAAAATGCTTGTAAACTGTACCTCATAGAAACTGAAATAGTTCCACACAGTTCTAGAATTTTTAGCGTTGATCTGCTGTTGCTTCAAAGGTTTGAACCTGTGTAAGTAGGTCAGCAATGGGAAAAAAACAGCATTTTAATCACTATTTCTCATTTTTATTAATATTAGGATGATTTGTGTAGTCTTAGATTTTGACATCTTGTGGTAGGCTTATTTAGTCTTTGTTTTCTGCCAAAAATGGTACCTTTTACTGGCTGACATTTCATCTCTAAATGTAATCATACGCTCACTCAATGTACATATAAACACCATTTGCCTTTATTACAGTTGCCTTGTCTCTGGACAGAAATACTTGTTGATTTTTCAGATCTGAAGCAAGAGTGGAGCTTGATTTTCTCCTCCCTCTCAAAGATGAAAGCTTGAAGTACTCTTTATCTGATGGTGATAGTTTTGGTGGTCTACCGGGTCTTGCACAGCTGCTAGGAGTCTTTTAATTATGTCTTAATCTGTGAACCCAAATCATTTTTTTTTAACTAATCATGTTTTTTTTCATGTATTGTCCTTTGTCTTACCCCTTTTTTATCCAAGTGGATTCTTTCATATTTTATGTCCTCAGAAAATGAAAAATGAATAGCTATACATGCATATAAAATGAGGCACATGGTGCACATACTGCTTTGCTCTGGTTTTCCTACACGATGTGGACATTTCGTCTCCTTACATTCTACTAAAACAAACACACTTTATGCAACATAGAAAATGGATATGCAAACATTTGAGGCTTTACACTTCACAGATAAACATGCCATCTTCGACTCTTACGTGCATTAACTCTTGCACACATCATGCAGATGTACATTGAACAGTGTGCTTTCTCCCTCCACATGTGATATTTTTACTCTGCTGATGCGAATACAGATTAGATTGTCCATCGTGGCATGCAGTACAGTGACCATGCATTATAAATAGAGATATGGAATATAGCTATCCATTATGAGTACAGATATATGGGACATGGAATTGCTCACTGAGTGATTTAACAGAGTGGAATAACAGAACTCCTCCTGCTCCTCGTCATGATGGAATGCCACTCAGTCTGTATGGAATTATTGCTCTTGCATAATGTGCTTTCCCAGTTTTCATGTTTACATAAGCACCCAATTTGCTTCTTCACATATTTGAGGGGAGTGCAAGAGTTCAATCTGCCACTGGAAAAGTCACAGTATAGTATATGAATGATATTCTAGTGCAGTGAAGCAAGTCATATAGGGGCTATGAGCAGGCACAGGGATTACAGGGCTGCACAGTGTGGACAAGATAATAGTATGCAATTATATTGCCAAGTATTATTATTGTGCCTTGCAATATATAGAAATCACATTGGTGAATCAGTAATGCGACATGGTCAGTGATTGGCTTGCGTTATTTTGGCCAAATAATTTACTCACAGCACACAGTATAAACATTATTAGTTACCTTAACATATTCTAGCCTTCTGCAATAACAGTATTGCAAAGGTTAATATTGTAATTATAATTAAAAACTATATTGTATAATCCTAAAGGGGACGTATTGATCATGATGATCAGAGACCACCCTTTCTTCAATTAATTTCCAGTTATTAAGTACTTAAAGTTCTTCATTTTTCAAGAGATCTTTCTGAAAAATCAGATATAAGATAATCCACTTGCATAAGGAAGATCAAAGTCAAAGGAAAGTAAGTATAAAAACAGAAGTTTATATACAAATAAAATGGGACTCCTAACAACCATGCAAGACCTGGTAGACCAAAACTGTCCCCATCACATAAACAGCACTTAAAGCTTTCATCTTTGAGAGAGAGGAGAAAATCAAGCTCCACTTGCTGCAGATCTGAAAATATCCACAGGTGTTTCTGTCTCAATGCTATGGGTCTGAAAGGATGTGCACCTGTCAAGAAATTGTTACTGAGAAAAGTTGTTGTTTGTTTTGTTTTGTTTTGTTTTTGTTTTTTCTTTACTTAGATTTCTCAGTGCTGAAAAAGCATGTTATTCATCCAAAGTGTTTCCCCTGATCCATCCAACCATTAAGCATACAGAGAAGTGAAGCTGTTTGCCACTCACTTTTCCCCCTCACTTTCTCTCTCTCTGTTTGTAGAACCATGAGTTTGTGGATGAGCAGCTGTTCGAGCAGAGTTATCTGGAGAGTGGTCTGCAGAGTTTTCCCTCACGGAGCCCCTCTCTCTCCAGCCGAGAGGGCATCACAGGGACCTGCTGCTCGCGAAGAGCAAAGAAGAGCAGTCAGCCCCCTAATGCAGCACACACACACTCTCACACACACCCACACAAACACAACCTGCAGGAGCTCAGCGCAATACATATCCAGTGCGGAGAGCAGCAGACCCTCAACACCAGGTAGTGCCCACACGCATACAGACATTCACTCAAAAGTTTGGACACTCCTGATTAAATGTATATTTTTCAGAACATTTTCATCTCTTTACATTTAAAATGTAAAACTTGGTGTCAAAATTAACAAATTAATAATGCATTAATGTGATAAATTATTAATGCTAGTCATTTTTAAACTCTGTTAAAACATTTTCCTAGTTTGATCCTTCGAGCCAGTATTCCTCTCTTCAGATAGAGCATTCAAATTGCAAGTTCCACGATGGCTCTCTTGATAAAAACAGAGGAGTTCATGTGAAATGTGCACTCACTCCTGAAAATAATGTTATTAAATTATTGAAAGTAATAAATCACATTCTGATGAAGCGATTAAATGCAATTAGTCATTGTTAACTATACAAATGAATGTGATTAATCGCGATTAATTATTTCAGTCATTTGCTAGCCTTAGTAAAATGATTTTATAAATGACCTCCCAATGAGTAAAACTTTCAGAAGTCACTGCTGAGCATATATAGAAGTTCATGCCTGCATGAAAAGCATGCAGAGATGCTCCTCATGATGCCGCTTGAGAAAATGCAGTGTTGTGTGCAAAGCTGCATTAAGGCCAAAATGCTATTTTAAATCATCTAAAATATGACATAGTTTTGTTTTGTGAATTGGTGTTTTTGACTTTTGACTGGTACTTTGTGTTCTATTGAAGACAATAGAAGTTACCCAATATACAAGACAATGAAGACAAGCTCTCTTTCTCTCCACAGTCGTTCCAGTCTCAACATGATGCCAGATGAATCGGCAGGTCTGAACTGTAAGAGCAGCAGTCAAGTTACCACGGCGATCATCAGCATCCCCACCCCACCTACTAACAACTCCCCCAGCAGCCCCGAGGCCCCCTCCAACCCTCCCTCCAACTCCAGTGCTGGTGTGGTGAAGGTCTCGGCGCTGTGATGGACAAGGCCAGAGAACCAATCGAAAGGCAGAACAGAGAAAGGGGAGGAGCACTCAGGATGAGAAAACTGTGGAGTAGCCTGCCCCCTAGTGGCAGAAAGACAGCACTGACTCTGACTCAGACTGAACAACCAACAACAAAGTGGGGTGAATGAGAACGGTGGAAGAAAGCATGTGTCTGTTTGTGTGAGAGAGAGATTATGAGAGCAGAAGAGCCATAAGAATCAATCCATCTCGAGGTTGATTAGATGAGGATGTCAAGAGTTACTCTGCATCAAGCACTTTTTCTTTTGTTTTGTTATTGTCTTGTATTGTGTCTTATTCTCCTTTTTTAAACCAGTGCAGGTTGCTTGTTAGGCTGCTTTCACAAGGACATTCTGGTATCTGTGGATTCTTCACGGGAGAAAGTAAAAAGATAAGGTCCACAGTGAGCTGGCCTTGTAGATCTTGGTTTTGTTCAGTGCTGGCATTAGCATCCATCTCAAGTGATCTGATCACAAATGGACAGTGGCTGTTTGCTCCTGGTGTTTCTTTGGGTCTTGAATGCATCTCCATTCACCACTTAAGACCAGGTTTCATGACAGGAGGAAGGGTGTCATGCACATTTAGTACGTCTGTCTCTCGCTGCATTTATCAGACAAAAAATATCTGAGAACCATGAACCATGAGAAATTCTGCTAAACAGTCTGCTAAAATCCTGTGAAATGGTTCACCTCTGTATGTACTGCCAAGTGTTCAGTGCCATCCAAACAGACTTGGAAACAGTCTTCTCAACATACTGTAAACTCCAGCCTTTCTACTTAACCTCTCTAACCAATTCAACCATTTGGACTAATTGAGCTGATTAGCGATGTTAATCTACAAACAGTATTAGCTAACTAGCTCAAATATGTGCCTCCAGGTACATTTAGAAACAGCGGGCATCATAATTATGCCAGGCTGTTAAATTTAGTAAAAACTCATGGCTGTGCAAACTGACTGACAAGTATATATAATAACCAATAATCCAGGCTACTACAATGTCATTGTCATGCAACAGTATACACTCTAATCTACAATACCAATTTGTACAAGCCTAATATTTTATATTTAAAGAGTGTTAAACTTGTACTCTTGGGCCCCTCATAGTGGCAGGGCCTCCCCCAACCCCCCTTCCCCTTAGAGACAGTCCTGGTCACATGCCTTTCTGACCGCCTCTGAAGGTGGTTTGAGTCATCAGACCACAACGCATGTCCAAGACACATTGGACTCCATTCTCACCTGTACTTAGCACTGTCCACTTACTAGTGTATCACCCAAGATGCATGCTAATGCCTAGCGATACATCTCTTCTCCATCTTTCTCACCAGTGACCTGACTGAAGGAAGCTCCACCTCAGACAGTCTCCTACTGACAGACGCATGATTACATCAGATTACATTTTTATTGATTGCAATGCATTTTTCTCACTGAAATCAATGGCAAGAGGTGCGTTTTTGACCGATACTAGAATGTCTTTGTGAATGCGGCCCTAATTAGATCACCTGTGATTGATTATTGTCTGGCAGGAAGATTTAAGATGTCGTTTTCAACTAAGAAGATCTGATTCATTTTGAGGATACTATTTTAAGGTGTTTTTTTTTATTTATCCATTTGTGTTGTTGTTGCTATCATCTATATATCAGTTAGCAGTTACAAGGACATCATATGCAGCCTTTCCAAATCCTTCACATCTTGTGATTATTTCACTTAATTCAGCTAAGCTCTAAAAAGACAATAAAAACAAAAATAGGGTTAGTGTGACAAAACGTAAAAGTTTTTACATTTTTTGTGTGAGTTTAAGAGAGATATAGAGTAGTGTGATGTGTTTAGGACCTTTCTGTGTGTGAGTGTGTGTCCGTGTGTGTGTGTGTGTGTGTGTGTGTGTGTGTGTGTGAGTCATATCCCCGTAAGCTCTCAGCGTGCGTCAGCCTGGAGCCTTTCACACAGTATGTGCCTCTCTTGGGGGAAGGAGCTTTTTTTTTTTCCTCTTCTCTAATCCACTTCCCCTCTCTCCTCTTGGGAAACTGTATTCTTCTTTGGGTCCAAGATGTTGGGCGGACATTACAGTGATACAGTGTTAATCTGCGAATTGTCAGTAATCACCTTGTATAACTGAACCAAAAAAAAAAGAAGAAATATGAAATATGAAGTATTCACACTATCTGTGACTATAAGCACAAGGCATTTGCTGAGAATTTGCGAGTAGGATATGTATTAAGCCTTGGTTTATTTGTGAATATTGTTAATAGGATCTTTTGTAATATTTGGCCATTGTTTGGCAAAAAAACCAGTGCAGCTGCCGCCCTTTGCCTCTCTCACTGTGGTCCAGTGCTGCCCGTCCCCTCGTGTCACCGAAACCACGCTTTCGATAGTTGTTTTGGTCCTCAATGTTGGTTTCTTTCCTGCTCAGTGAACATTTTATTGAAAAAAGTAAACCTTGTTAAGTGTGTGTGTGTATTCTACTTGCATAGAAACTTTTGGTGTTTGTCGCCCTTCAGCGTTGATTTTTTTCTCCTCTGAACACAGACTGTCGCTAACGAACTCAGCCGTGAGTCATTTGTTGCCATGGTGATGGCAGAAGCCAGAGTGAGTTTGCCTGACACTCCCATGGACCAGTCAGATCTCTTTTTTGTTGCTCCCTTTTTCTGTTTCTGTTTCTTTGCCAATAAGATGGCTTTGCCAATAAGACTGTGTATGCGTATGTGTTGACAGTTTAGGGGGGGAACCACTGATCTGGTTCATGTTTAATGTTTCATACTCTTAAACTCAAATGCTTCGAACGTGGTGTTATTTAAAGTGTTCAAAAGGATTGTTCATTTGTCTGAGGCATCTTGTACTGTGATGTCTGAGGTATCTTTGAGACCTAATTTCTAGTCAATGTTTATGTTTTTCCACCCAGGCTTGTGAGAAGGTGGCACATATGCATACAAAAGGTGGTAAATACAAACCTTAATTTCAGAAAAAGCTGGGACAGTGTGGGAAATCCTATTAAATATAGGATATAGTGATTAGTAAATTGTTTTTGACCTGTATTAAATTTAAAACTGCACAAAAACATATTTCATATCTTAAATTATGAACTTTATTGTTTTTTTTTATTATTATTTATATTTAGATATAAGATTATTGCAAGTTAGATGCCCGCAACACATTCCAAAGAAGTTGGGACAGGAGCATGTTTACAACTGTGTTACATCACTTTACAATACTTAATAATTGTTGAAGACTAATTGATCTAGTGTCTAGTGCATTTTTTGACATTCTTCCATTAGACAAGCTGCAAAACTGAACTTTTCTTATTTGGTCTAGAGACCACAAAAACCATTATTACCATAAGCAATCTGAAAGGTTGTCTGCTGTGCATCAGTCCTTTTCAGATGAGTTTGAGCCCAGAGAAGTCGGCAGCGTTTCTGTACATTGTTGACAAATGGCTTTCACTGTGAATAGCACAGATTTAACTTGCATTTATGGAAAAACAACAAACCATGTTCACTGACAACCATTTGTCAAAGTCCCATGTAGTGATATCCATCACAGGCGCATGCCGGTTCTTAATGCAGTGTTGCCTGAGGGATTGAATCTTTGTGAAAGCTTGTTGAAGAATGTTGTTCTTAAACTGTTGGATTATTCGCTGAGGCATTTTTTGATTTAATAAAGGATTCATTAAGGACTAGGCTTTTCTTGGGTGCTTATTATATAGCCAAGCATGATAGCGTCACATGCTTAAGATGTTTTTTTGAACACTTCACATGTTCCCAGTTTTAAATTGCCCTGTCCCAAGTTTTTGGAATGTGTTGTGAGCATCCTGTCTTGGCACTGTTTTCATTTAAATACAGATCTATATGGAGTCACTAATCACTGCTTTGTGTTTTTATTTGCCTTTCACATACTGTGCCAACTTTTTTTGGTGTTGAGGTTTGTAATATAAACATTAAGGTCCTGATAAAAAGTCCTGCTTTTTGCTATAAGAAAATTATTCATTTTTTGTTCATTATTTCTTTTTCTTTTCAAAATACAGAAGTAGACATTCCTCTTTATGCCACTGAGCACTGTACAGGTGTGGAAGTTAAAAAGTCAATCCTAAACACCTTGAAATTACCAAACTGTGTAAAAGACTGTTTCATTTTTGGAAGGCGGCTGTTTTGAAGGTACATTGTTTTCTCCTGACAGTGACGGTATAGTAGAAACACCAGCACACTGAGGAAGGGTTTTTACTTCAGGACTGTCATTGACCCAAGACCACTGGTTCCCTGTGTCTAACTAATGAGACTTATAATGTCTTACTGTACCAGACTGCAGAAAGGCACTAATGTGGATTTGTCCTTAACTTGACCAGCAGAGTGTGTCTTACCTTTCAGCAGGTGCTCGGGAGAGGGAAAGGCCTGGATGAGTGGTCAGTATCCAAGCGCTTTGAGATTTCATCTTCTATTCTCTTTGAGGTCTACACCAAATCCAGTTTAAGCCGAATCATGTGAGAGCATTATAGAGGGAAGTATTTTCCTATTCAGTACTTAACATTTCTCATTTTCAAGCATTCATCACCATTTAGTACATGTTTAGATGTTTGATTTGAATAAATGAGGTTTGTGGTCATTCATTTAGACATATATAGTTATTCCGCTTGAATTATTGCATTGGTTAGAAGATGTATTAAAAAGTTGAACATCTCTTATAACACAGCTTCAAAGTGTTAGGCTGTAATATTGTGTATATTATATCAGACACCTAATGTTATCAGTATTATGGGGAAAAAGCACATTATTAGCTCTTAGTAGAGGAATATCAGGGTGTCCATGCAACTCATTACCAAATGATTCACTTTGCTGTCTTTTATAAAGAAAATCTCGAAGATAAAAGGTTCATGACTTCCCATTTGACACCCTGTCTGTGTGCTGAGCTCTTACCACTAGTGTTCAGTTACACATACGGAAATAAAGCATTTGTTAAAGATATTTGCAGGCAGCTGTATAATACGGTTTGTAGGTTCTTTGGTGTATAAACACTTAATTTGCTCTCTCCACTCTAAGCAGTAAATTCATTATCACTTAAGGCAAGATACTACAGGTAAAAATAATGATTTTTTGGATAATCTATAACATTTCTTTACTTAAACTGTAATCATAAAAATTCTAAACGTGGGTTTTCTTTTGCAGTCTCCCAAGTTCTAGATATTAACCATTTAAATATTAGGTACAAATTCCAAAGTATTAGATAATTATTTTGGATGATGATGGTAAGTTCTACATCAGTTTTAACTTAACTACACTGAAAGGTTCAAGGTATTAATTGTGAGGTACAATCTCCAAAGTACTGAGTAGTTTAAATTGGGTAAAATGATGACTATAAGTGCCAAGTCTAACTAAATTACACTGAAATGACAGGTTCTTGCTGTTGAACTGATAAAGGACATAGTAAAATATCTCCTAATTATTTAAAGTAATAAGGTGGTCAGCACAAACATACTCTAAATGTCAATGTTTGAGAGTCAGTATTTTTCCACTCGGCATTGAAAAACATTGAAAAAACATTGCCAAGCTACTTTGTGTTTAATGTGAGACCAAATATTCTCTATAGGGTGTACATCTGGACTCTGACCAGCCATTATATTTTGGGCATGGCCCATGTTTTTGCCCAGAAGTGCACAACACATTCTACATCATTGTAAAGAACCATTTCACCATGTAAAGAACCATTTAAGTATGGGTCTTTAGTAAGCAACCCTTAAAGAACCATCTATTATAAGAGTTTAGTACTGTAGCATTTGTGCATCACACTTTCTTAATTAATACTTTGAACTTAAGGGACTGTAAAAGAAAGCGTTACAAAAACATGTTTAGTGAATTCATGTCACTCACGTCCAACTTTATTTTCCCAAAAGAACTTTAATGAAGGCTTAGCTCTGTCCACACTTACCACAATCACGCTCTGTTATATGTCACTGAAAAGCTTGTTTCCTGTAGAATCTAACTAGAATATCCAAATATGTCTGTTTCCTTTGTACTAATGACATTATTGACACAAATGCTGTATGTTTTCTGAGATCTCACTGGGTAAACTCAGTTTCTCTTTACATTCAGAACCGAAAATCTCAGCTTCTTATAAACCTGCATTCATGAAATTATACATGTTCATTCCAAACCTTATTCTCAAAGATATAACAGGAGGATTTCTGAAAATATCGCTCATAGTTAATTATATTTTAGATTTTGTACTACAAAAAAAATGAAAAATGTTACAGTAGCTCTTTCTTGATTATAAACAATAGGACAATAAGATTTCAGTAATCTGTTCAGGGAAATCTTTTCTCTGGAGCGCATCTTCTCAATGAAATATTTTAATTCTAACCTCATCTAAAGCCTTCTTTTTTAAATATGCAAATGGATGCATATTTAAAGTAGATAATGTCTCATTTGCATGCCTAGTATTTTTTGCAAATCTTCCAATTTAAATAATACTTAGGAAAAGATTAGTAATCAGCTGGCCAAAATTCATGGTAATATCTTTTGTTTAAAAAAAAACCCTTTCACCTGTAGTGTCTCGCCTTCAATAATAGAATACATATCCTTCTGGTCAGAGAGAGCAGGTTTATTCTGGTTCGTCTATATGCTCATTGATGGAGTGTGAATATCAGATAACATGCACTCTTAAAAATTAAGGTGCCAAAAAAAGAGTTCTTTGGACTGATGCTGTGAAAGACATTCCTTTACAGGACCACTTTTGTAGTTGAGATGTGTGAGTGTTAAGAACCTTTTTAAAGTTGAAAGAACCTTCATATAATGGAAAGGTTCTACACCAGTTATGGGTTTCTTATAGAGCTGTAGAGAACCATTTAGGAACCTTTATTTTTAAGAGTGTGGTTTTGTGTGATTTTTGGAAATAGTTTTTTTAATAAAACTCAAACTTTGCTAATTCTGATAATCTAACTGCGAGAAAATAGTTCAAATCTATGAGGAGTCATTGTGAATCTGTGAAAAACAAATGTTTTAAGCAGTTGAGAGGAAATAGGGCTAGAAATTGGTTATTACCATAATCCCTTGTCTGACAGAGGCAGTTAAATACTCCAGTTCTGCTGTGTTGAAGTGTAAGTACACTCCCTTCAAGTGACCAAAAGGGTTTGTTGTTCCACTCATGTTCCAAAGTTAAGATTTGTATTCGTCTGTCTGCCTCCCAGCTGTCGCTTTCCCTTCTCTTCATTGTCTCTGTTTTTATTGTGCTCTCTCTATTTTTGCTTTTGTTTGTATGGGATTATGACATGGTTCCGTTGACCCTACTTCTTTGCCTTCTCTGTCAGATGTTGAGTATAATTTAGGATTTTGTCTTGTCACAACTGTGAAGCGCCTGATAAATTATCTGTAACTGTCACAAACTCATTTGCTGTGTGTGCAATTCTTTAGTCTTCAGAAATCAGCGTTCTTACTTAGAAACAGCTTCACTTCAAACAATCATGCATCCGGAAATCTTCACTGGTTCATCAAAACTAAAGTATGAATAACTCACACAGTTTCTGGATCAATCAGGAAGTCCAAAATGTGTCACTGTATCAGAAAAGGACCACTTTACGTAGGTGTAAAAGAGTATTTGTGCTTAATTATCTAGAATATACAGCAATGTGAAAAAGTCCGAGGCCACCTTTCATTTATTTCATTTGCAATCAAAACATTAAATAGTTTTTCATTTTCCAACTAAAACAATATCAGTTTTTTCAGTATAAAGTGTCTACCTTTACCTTTAGAACAGCTTCCATTCTACTTGCAGAGATATTTTCCACACTCCTAAAGTTCAGTCTCAGAAGTTGGTTGCATTTTCTGCTTCTCACAGTCCAAATATCCTAAACACATTCAATGATGTTGAGGTCTGGACTGGACACATCCTTTCAGACCCATAGTGTTGAGTTGTCTTCTCACAGATGGACAGAAACACCTGTGGATTTTTTCAGATTTGAATCAAGAGTGGAGCTTGATTTTCTCCTCTCTCTCAAAGTTAATAATAATAATAATAATAATAATGGTGGCAGCTCAAAGTGCTTTACAGACAGGTGATAAAAATAGTTATACAAGAAATCATTAGTATTTATTTAGAATCAGAAGAAAATGAAAAGTGTGAAATTAGAAGATAAATACCACAAGACGTAGAGTTTTAATTACATGCTTTAAGTTCTGTTTATCTGATGGGGACAGTTTTGGTGGTCTACCAAGTCTTGCATGGTTGTTAGGAGTCCCATTTTCTTTACAACTTTCAATCCTTTTTTAATCCAGTTGTGGAAACTCCTGTTTTTATACTTACTTTCCTTTGCGTTTCCCCTTCCTTATGCAAGAGGATTCTCTTATATTCAGTGTCCTCAGAAGCATCTCCTGAAAAATGAATAACTTGTACTTAATGGTCGTTTGACTGGTCATTAAATCAATGAAGTTTGGTCCCTGACTTTTGCAAGACACTGTACATTAAGAAAGGGTTCTATATAGTACAAAATGTAACAATAGCGCAACTATTTTTAAAACGTGAGGACCATTTAGAGATTCAAATAGTATAGAACATTGTTCTACATGCACCTATTGCCTTTACTAAAGAAAACCCTGTCAGATGTTTGTGAGTGTTATTCAACCTAAAACAACCATTGTGCATCCAGTATTCCGAGCAGCACTGTTGGTTATTGGTTACCCATCTTTGTTTGCATTATTTAGCTCAATACCTAATGCAATGTGCTTTTTATAGTTTATTGACTTTTAATATTTTGTTTCATGTTTTCTTCACCACCATGCAGTGGCTTCTGTGACCAGTTCAGAAGTCACAGCTTAAGTTTGCAACCTAGGAATTCCTATTTTACAAGCAACAATGTAACATAGACTTTCTATAGACCTTTCAAACATTATAGTGGGCTAGTAATGGAGAACCAGACATGTGAAATCAACAATGAAAAACTCACAACAGGACATCTAATGTTCAAGATTTGGTGAATTTATAGCAGAAGCTTTTTTCTCTTTAATCACTGATAAATGTAAAAGTGGGAACAGCTGCCAAAGACTCAAAATGTGCTCTTCTTTCTGCAGCTACAGACTTTCAGCACCATTCTCTCTTCGAATAACTGCTGGTTATTTCTGAGTGTTACTTCTGGTTTCTGGTTCAAAGTGTTATTTCTGGTTACTTCGAGTGGAACAACCAAAACATGACAAGTTACTCAAACATTTCATTTCAGTTGGTATTTTATTGAAACTTTTTTTTTAATTTCTTATCATATCCCAGCACTTTAGATCCAGATTCGGTTTTGGAATAATCTCTTAATAACCTCAGATCTAAACCTTTAGCATCAGCAAAGATACAAAAGAGTTTAATGGGTGAACTTCAAAATATTTTAGAGACTTTACTAGTCATCTTCAAGTGATATATTTACATTGATTTAGTGTAAAAACAGTATTTAAATAGAATTTCTCTTTTCTTTCTCCATCATGGTATAAAAAATAACATTTCTAACCCAAACTTAAACCAGAACACTGGCAAAACTATAAAGCGCAGTGTGTGAAAACGTTTGAGTGTAATTCAAACCAGTACATCACAATGTAGACTTAAATATTTTCTTTCAGTACTAATGTTAAAGAAAACATTCCAGGTTACTTTTTAATTGTCCTAAATGTTATGTAATGCCAAATCTTTATATTGCTGCTATCAGAACAAAACCTCCTATCTCCATGTTTGTCATTTTTTAGTTTTTGACATATTTGGAAATGACTGTTATCCTTTACATTGTGTGTGAATTTCATGATGAATGGACCAAAAGAAACGGTCCAAAATGACTTGTCAAAAAGTCTGGTTCCATTGACTTACATTAAAAGTAAAGAAGGTTTTTTCCTTTTCCTGTAAAGTTACAATTTTGGAGATACGAGGTTTTGTTCTGACAACAGCAATATATTGGTCATAGTATTAACTGAAGAACAAGGAGAAAAGGAAATAAGAATATAAAGAGATGTAACACCTAATAAAAAATTGGGAGCCAAAATTTTCAGAATACATTACAAGTATAAAGAAGCAAAAAGAAGAAAGGGGTAGACTTCACATTACTGATGTCAATGACAGAATATAGAGTTTAAAGCAAGTAAATGAACAGAGTCACCATTTCATATAAATTCAGATCAAATAAAGTTATAATAAAGAATGATCCTCCAATCAGCTGTCAGTTTGTAAAGGGTGGGAGAACAATCCTCCAGTCAGCTGCAAGGTTGTGAAAAGTGAGAGAACATTCCTTCAGTCAGCTGTCAGTCTGTGAGTGTGTCAGAGGTCGACTGTGCAGTCAGTGCTCAGCAGTGCGGTTTGGTGCTGAAGAGTTTGTGCAGATGTGTGCGGAAGTGGCGCTGCAGAAGTGTGTAAATGAGCGGATCCACAGCAGCGGGAACACATGACACCACCGAGGCAGAGGAGTACAGACCACCCAGCAGCCCACCCTACATCCACATAGACATACATCGTTAAAACATCGCACTGTAGGAAAGAGGCAAGAAGAGAATACAGGAGCTCAAACCTACAAACTTCAGCCCTCATACGTTTAATTAAATCCACATTAAGTGCTACTTCTCAACAATCCACCCCTCAGCTCCTCCCTCACTCTTCCCTTCCACTTAACAAATGAAGACCACGTCTTATCAGAACCTTGACCACTTTGCTGGCTTCATCTGCAGCTCTTGCTAACCTGCACGTACAATGTCCTTGTTATGTGATGTTGCAGATTAACTCATTAAGGCAGTGGGGTTGTGAATTATGATTAGTGGCCCCCTTAGCACTTCTCTGCACATCCCCCATCACCACTCCCTCCATTGAAATCAGACGCATACCGGTATAAGTCAACATCGTTTATTCTCAGTGCTTTTTAAATACCAGAAACTCTTGAAAAGCTTCACTATGTTTTTCCATCCCAGTTTTTTTCTTTATTTTCATTTGTTAGGAACTAACTTAATAATGTACTCGCTCAGTATGAAGATTCCCCACAAGGGGGTGCTATTAGTGCTCAAATAGCTTTTGGTGCATTGCATCAGTGATGCTGTATGTTATTTCAAGACAACAATGACAACAAAGGAGTTAACAGGTTTTAAGGTTTTTCTAAGATGTGCCACCAGTTTATTATTTATTTCATAGTAGTAGTTCCCAATCCTGGTCCTGCAGTGCCACTGCTCTTAATATTTTAGAGTTTCTCCTGCTGCACGCACACCTGATTCTAACTAATGAACTGATTAAGCCCTTCCTGAGGTGAACTATGGTTTGAGCAGGGGGAACACCACAACCAGACAGTGAAACACCAGGACCAGGACTGAGAATCGGTTTAAGAGAGTGTTTCCCAGTGCTCTGGTCCTACAATGTGTCCTAGACCTAGATTGAGAAGCACTGCTGTAGACCAGACAATTAACATCTTGCAACATGTCTTAAAGGTGCAGTGTGTAAGGTTTAGGGGGATCTATTAGCAGAAATGGAATATAGTTACAAAACCATGTTTTTGTTAGTGTATAATTACCTGTAACTACAAATCATTGTATTTTCATTAGCTTAGAATGATCCTTTCATATCTACACAGGGAGGAGGTACTCTTCCAACAGAGACCACCATATTTCTACAGTAGCCCAGAACAGACCAACCAAACACTGGCTCTAGAAAGCACCTTTTGTGTTTTTTTTTACGTTGAAGCGGCTGTCAGTGCTGGCCAGCTATTTTATGCTGTGAGAAGATTGAAAACCCAAGTTTTGACAAATGGAGGACTTATTATACAGCGCAAGAAAAAGCAACATGTGAATCCTCTTTACTTAAAAGTGAAAAACCTGAAAAAGCAAAACAAATTTGGGGCAGGCAATGGCAGAAAACCTGACGGCCACCATAGGTTCTACTACACACTTAGAAAGGGAGGGGTGAGGGAAAGTTATTCAGTTGGTTGCAATCTGCAACTTCACCACTAGATGCCACTAAATCTTACACACCGCACCTTCAAAGCAAAGTAAATCTGCTGGGTGTGGTAAGCTGTCTGTCTGGAGCTCTACTTTCCTGCAGGTCAGCAGCTTTATTAAATCTGTGAAAATAACCTCTGTTGAACAGCATAAATAGTTCACATTTGTGGTGGTACTCACACAGCTTTGGGTGCAGTCTACAAACTCGTCGAGCACAAGGATCAGCACCAGCGGGAGCCAGAACAGGATGACCGCTATGATGATGTAGCCCAGGCGCTTGGCCAGCTTGCCCTCCAGCCTTTTCTTGCCCAGCTCTTTGGCTTTGGGAGTGAGGACGCACACGGCCCCTATTATCCTTGGTGGCGTGTCTGGCTCGTCCCACTGCGACCCTCCCTCCGCGCCTGCGCTGGACTCCGGCAGCCCTGCGGGCGCTGTCCATGGTGCTGAAGCAGCCAGGCTGGGCCAGCCTGAAGGGAGTTTCGCGATGGACGCTCTCGGCTGAACGCCCACGTCAAACACTCTACTGGCGTGTCGCCTCACCACGATGAAGATGCGAAGATAGTGGAAGGTTATGATAACGATACATACAGTCCAGATAGGGACCAGGACGCACGCGCCAAACGGGTCCGTGCGGAGCTTTGGTGAGTTTAGGTTGCGACACATCATGTAGGACGGAGGGTCTTCGCTCAGACTGAGGGAGAGAATTGCTATGAAGAAGGAGACCACCCAGACGAGAAGAATCCAGGTCCGGGTTCGCTCTGTCCTCCTCTGCGTCCTGAAGGGGAAGGCGATGGCTCGGTATCTCTCCACGCTTATGGCCACCAAACCGAGCAGCTGCGCGCAACTGCAGAGCGCGAAGGTGAACTGCTGCGTGGAGCAGAGCGGAGAGGCGCCCAGCAGCAGAGAGGCGAGAAACAGCGGGGAGTCCACCAAGCATCTCAGCAGGTCGCCCGCAGCTAAATTGACCAAGAGCGCGTTGTTGGCCGTCTGCAAAGTTTTGTTTCTGAGCACAAGCCAGCAGACGAGAAGGTTACTCGGCACCCCCACCAAAAAAGTGCAGCCGAGCAGGATGCAGTTCAGGGATAAGAATCGCGCGCTGCTCTGCTCGACTCTACATGGTCCAGTGGCGTTGGACGTCCAGCTGTGTCCCATCGCACACGCCGGATTACTCCACATGGCATAGTTATCAATAAGGCGCTCTTCTTAGCTTGGACCACTTTGGGTCATTTGCGTCAAAAGGGGACAGCCCACTGAGGTGACGTCAGCCCTGACTGGTCATCTCTCTATAATGTCTTAGATCTTGTTGAACTTCTCCTCGGCCGCAAACCAGTTAGTTCACTTGTATAAAGCGTTTTTTACACCTGGAGCTTTTACAGAAATGCAGGTCCAAGCAAGAAAACATGGAGATTAATTGGTGCCAAATTGAAATACAATCACTACAGCAGAGGCGTAGCCAAGGGGTGGGCAGGGGTGGCCAGTGTCAGCCTGGAATGAAGCATGGCCACGTTTCTGGCCACCCCAATTATGGCAAGTGAGACAGTCAGGCATCATCAGTAAAGCCTCAGTTACTCTTTATGGAGAAATCTGCCACCAGGGTAGTTACCAATCAGTTATGAGAGTCTGATGATGCAGGGCTTAATAATTAGCATATCCTGCTGTGATTGGCTAATGTACTCAGCAAACAGATAAGCGTATGTGCACTGGGTCCCTTCAGCAGTGCTGCTCTGAGAGCTACATTATGGAGTAGGCTATCCGATGGTAAGATGAGTTAGCTATAAATATTTAGTTAATTATAATCATTTATCATTCTAATTCCTTTTTACATTTAATTGTATGCATGTGTTGGTTACTTTATACAGTGATGAGCTTTCTAATCATTAGACTCAGATATAATCTGTAGTGAATGCAACCTAAATGAAGAATTTCTATTACCAGTCTATATGAAATGTTTTTCATGTTAATATTGTGCACTGAAACAAAGTGAAGCACTTAATTCACTTCACTCAAACTCATCATTTCCTCACGAACGACTAAAACACATTATATTACTACAGTTTTGTCCTGGAGTTTACTTTCGGCAGAAGTTGTATTGAGGTAATATTTTATTCATGTGGATGTGAAATGCAGTGCACACATGATATTACTTTCCCATAAGTGACATGCAGAATACATGCCACTTATTAAAAAACTTAAATTATATTGTTTTCACATTGTTTGGCCTAATAAATGACAAATACATGAAGATTTGCATTAAAAATGAAATGTTGAATAGATGTCGGAACTGAACACAATCCACCTTGAAATGTAGTAAAGGTACAGCCATACTGCTTTCCACTGTGCAGTAATATACACCGGTTTGCCTCATTAAAATGCAATCATAACAGTGAAAACTGTGAAATATAATGCACACATGGCCTTACTTTTCCATATGTGACGTGCAGAGTAAGTGCCAAAATGAAAAGCAAAACCCCCATTACAGTGTTTTTACATCGCTTGACTTCTTTTGTGAAATGCATCCAAAACAGTGAAATGCAATGCACACAAGAGACTGCATTTAAACAGTAATACAAGAATAACATGCCAAAATGAAAGGTAAATGATCTGTTACACTGATTTAGCATTGTTTGGAGTACTGCACAGTGAAAAGCAATAGCTCTGCCTGCATTACATTTAAAGGCAGATTGTGTTCAATTCTCACATGAATCCAGCGTTTCATTTTTAAAGCAAATTTTCATGCATTGTTTTTTTCAGTAAAGAGTTCAAGCAATGTGAAAACAATGTATTCTGTACGTCTCTATGGAAAAGTAGTGTCATGATCTTCTAATGCAGTGATGCTGTATTCTCCAGTGGATGTAATACCTTCATCTTAAGGTAAAAACCGGTAAACTCACTTGGGACTACTTTACTGCTCTGAGTACAGTCTCTGAGGTGGAGGAACACAGGTAACTGATGCTAGTACAACCAAAATGCTATCACACCAAAATCTTTGGTCAGTGTATAAAAACAGTTCTAATTTGCACAAGGCAGTGACGTTGAACTGTTAATACTGCTTTAGGGTGTATGGGACTATTGAATAAAATAAATAAGTAAATAATTACACCCTCCATTTGGAGAGCCCACTGTAGATGCTCACCTTGTCTTTAAATAACACTGAAATAATTACATATCACATGCAACCAAACTTTATGTTGAAAGATATATTCTATTACATCTAACCCTGAACCTAACCTTAACATTGTCAATCAACATGATTAACCATCAGACAGTTTGACAGCAATGAAATCATCTGCTGATTATCTATAAGGGACTCTTCAAATAAAATGTGACCCCCCACCACACACACACACACACACGCACACCTATTTCACACCCCATGTATATTTTATCCAGAAACAAAGTATTTTAAAAAATGTCTTGAGAAAACAAAAACACGCTGGAATATCTCTTTTACTAGAAAGGGCACTGCGGTCAAGCAGAGTTATATTTTTCACTTCCTCTAATTGCCAGAAAGTGAGAGGTGGGATGGGAGGTCGTTGACTGATTGGGAAAGCTCGGCCTGATTACAGGTAATCAGTGCAACAACACTTCATCAAGCGCTATCATTATTGTGAGATATCTAAATGTGGTGGGTGCAGTGGAGACTCTGATTGCCTTCCAGGACATTTAAATATATTTAAACAACCTACATGAAACCCTCCTGAACAACGGTGTTTAAATAGTCCATTTAAAGTTTACTCAGTTACTCGTTACTCAAGAAATAATGTCAACTGCTGTACTGCAATTATGATTAATCATCAACAAAAGTAGCAGTGGAAAATCTTTATTATTAGGCAACTATATAAATTCACTTTTTGAAGTGATCATTAATTTTAAATGACCCATGAAATAACAGTCCAACACAGTCCATAAAACACTGAGCAGTGCTTTAAACAGGATTACCAGTTTGTCTGATGAAGAGGTATAACAACAACTACAGAGCATTTCAAAGTCACAAACGTGCATTATATGAACGTTTACTCTGATGGACTCTTGGCTGCTCCTGAAACGATATGTTACATTGATCTCATCATTACTATTATATATCAGACCAATGGGTAACATGGTCTTTTGGCACTGCTGGTCAAATTACATGTTTTGGGGATTTTATAAGTGAAAGTAAGTCAACACATCCACTACAGGGAACACACCTCGGCACATTTTAACATACAGTTACTGCTTATCTGCAGAGTTTAACAAACAAAATATAAAAAACCTAAAATGTAGCATATGCCAATATTATGGCACATTTTGTTTTGTTTTTTTTTTTCCAGCATGTTAAACTCAACAAATAAACAGAAATTGTGCTCTACAATTTGCAGAAAAATACTGTATTTAAGTTTGTTCCTTGCGGAGGATGTGATAACATCGTCACAAAACATGTCTGTTTTGCTTACAACGGTACATCACAGAAACACCAACTGGTCTAACACATTATAGAAACAAATGAGTGCGTTTACATGCACCCAATAATCCGATCATAATCTGAGTTCTGCAGTTATCTGATTATTCTAATGGTAATATTAACAGCATACTCTGATTTCTTAGATCGGAATAAGGTCTAGAAATCTGATTCAGAAATCCAATAAAGAGAGCTGAATTTTAGCTCAGTAATCAGATTTCTCAGTGCATGTAAACTCTTACTCTGATTTCTTTTGGATTTCTCAGTCTGCGCATGTGCGAAACAGACTGCTGTACCGGAAATAAGCAAGCGGCGTTGCAGCGAGACGGCAACAAAACACTTTTAGAGCAAAGCTGAAACCGAATACATTCTCAACGAAATGACAGATTTAAATATTCTTCATCTTCTACATAATATGTGTTCATAATCTCAGGTAAAGTGGCGCAATGTTTAAAAAAAAAACAAAAATTAAAAAAGCTGTGGCAATTACGTCAGGTCTTCTTCTGTGAGTTTATTGGCTGGTTGCAAAGCAGAAATCAGATTACTGCCTGACTCATGTAGACCCGGACTTTTCCCATTATCTGATTACTCAAGTGCATATAAACAAACACGATCGTATTACTTACAAAATCTGACTTTGTGTAGTTATCGGATTATTAAATGCATGTAAACACACTGAGATCAATCTTACATTAAGCATCTTTATTTGATATTTGGGTGGTTACAGTCTTTCACTCACTCTGTATATTGCTTGGCAGACATGCATCAAACCTCATCAGATTTAAAGAACTCTTCCTTTTAGAAGTGTGACTAAGAAAAAGATAGCTTTGAGAAAAATTAATTTAGACCATTTTCCTCTTGCCTTTGATGTAGTTGAGCAGTCAAGAAAACATGTTTGGACCCCAAACCTCGTTTCTTTAGTTCAGACACTGGAACAAACACTGGAACTAAACAGTCACCCACACAGCCAAAATCACTTTCCTTCACTGCTTTGGCCGCCATTTCAGACAGCACCGATACAGGCATTCACAAAGTAGTCTCAAATCAGAGGACTGTTCTTGGATTGAGTATTTATGATCATTGAGTCATTGTCATAAAAACTGATTCCAGAGCGGCATTTCTACTCTGTGAATACAGACCCTGTTGTTATAAATGGCTGCCCCCAGTGTTCAGGTTTTGTTCATTTTTATAATTTACAGTAAGTCATACTGTGTCCTAAACCACACTGACAAGACTGCACAACCTCAGTGAAGAGCTGGATGCAGTTTGAGTGGGTCAAAAGAAGTTCTGATGTATTTTGGAGATGATTTGGGTGACTACTGACTTCTAGCGTTTGTTAGCAACATCAGCCTTGTAGCTCCAGCGCTAAACTAAAAAAGTGAAATTTGGACTTTTTGTCTGTTCAATTACTGTCTGTGGTAAACGAAAAAATGGGTAAATCTGATTTTTTGCCAAACTTTCTTTAACTCTTATTTTTCAAGCCCCCTAGCTGACCAAAGTGCAGTATTTTTGCTGTTTTTTAATTTCAGTGCTTCATCATTTCCATCATGTAGACTGTGTTCATGCGGTACGCAGCTAGCCAGTTATATGGTGAGTGGTAGTAATAGGCTGGGCTGTAATACTCCTGCCATGCTCTGTAATAAGCTCTCCAATAGTCCTGTTCGTCCTCCTCCTCTTCCTCAGAGTATTCCTCCTCCTCATCCTCCTGTCTTCCTGTGTCCTTCTTCCATCTGGCCAC